CTTCATTATTTCCCAAGCTTCATCACTACCTTCTCTATCATTAATTTCCCATATTTCTTTCATTTTTTGCCGTTTCGTCTTATATATAGCTATATTGTAAAATGTTAGTATACATCCTCCATCTTTTAGCTTTATAATCATATTTAATTCCAAAATACTGAACTCTATTGAATCTCCTTTCTTCCTTGGGGATTGGAATGTATGTTGAACATTTCCAGGCTGTGGGTCATTATCTTGTTTTCCACATTTGTTGGCATCTTGTAAGGATTCGGACTGATTCATTTTCTGCAGCTTGGAATAGTCCTATTGGTACCCTAACTACTCCAGGTGTTTTATTGTTTGCAAGAGCTTTCTGAGCAGCTTTCACTGCCCTTTCTAATATTGCAGGCTCTTCCTCATAGGGCTGCTCTTCAAAGGAGTCTATCATGTATAGGATGATAGGAGAGATGATAGTCTTCGGTCTATTCTTTCCATTTCTCTTTATTTTCTCCTGTTCAAATAGTGTGTCCCTTTTTTATTTTAGCATTTTTAATCCAGGTTTGAATTTCCCTCTGATCTCTTGATTTTTCTGGAAGAGCTTGCTTGTTTTTCCTATTTTGTTCTTCTCCTCTATCTCTTTACACTGGACATTGTAACAGTTTTGTGTTTGTGTTTTGTTTTTTTTTTTTGTGGAGGGTTGGTGTCTCTGGGATAGTCACTGAAAAGTAGCATTCAGAATTCTGGTACTAGTTCTGCCCTCTTTTGCTTCTTAAATCTTAAAGGTCTAGCCAATATTAACATTGTCCCCTTTTCAGCTTACATTACTATTACACACTGTCTTGTCATGTACTTTAGTGAGATAAGTAGGTAAAAATATTGATAGTACATGAGTGGGTTGATTAATATCATTTCTGTGGAACATGAACAACAATTCTTTAGGAGAGGGGAGATCTTCTCAACAAATCTTACAGGAAATTTTTAAACCTGGGCGTTCATTGTACTTTGGATCCTTCCAGTGGAAGAATTCTTAGTTTCACCAGACAAAAGATACTGTATTACACTGATCTCCCATGGCATGAAAAAGAACAGATGAAGTTGTGGGGAAACATGGAAGGCTTACAATTTGAAGATCACAACAACTGGATTCCTGTAAAATTCCATGAAACCTTACCTGCAACAATCCTCTGGCAACATTTTAAAACAACTGGTGATACTGATTTCTCACTTAATGGTATGTTGTGGCCGCACCAGCAAAGAATCCAAGATACCATTGTTCTAGTCAAATATATCAGCCATAAAATGTTCAGGCTAAGAGTACCTGAAATGTACACTAGTATCTGCTTATTCTCTGGTACTTTTATTTTTGACACAACTTTTGGCTAATCAGATGCTAATACACTGTGCAGTAACTAGACATCAACTTGGCTGTCACAGTGCAGTCCTAATTCATGCTTGCTCAGAAGTAGGGCTCAGTGATTTCAGTGGGGCTTATTCTCAGGTACGAGTTAAATGGGTACTGGATTGCAGCCTTAGTGAGGACTTCGTAGCATTGCCATTTTATCTTGGAGCAATTTTTTACTTATATTATTTTTACTTTGTGCTTTAGCCCAGAAAGATTCCCACAGTGGTTTAATGAGAGGATTGGGAGGTAGAAGGAAAAAAGGAAAACTTGGCCACTAGTTCTTCATCTCAAACTGCTCACAGATATGACCCATGGAAGGGAAAACGCAAGCTTCCTTTTCTGCCTAATGTACAGGGTCAGGTTGGTCTCTCGCTGTCCTGGGACACAGGTGCAGCCTCCAAGTGGATCTTGGCTCTCTAAAAGAAATAGGTTTTACAGTACAATCCCATGCATGTCTGTTCAGAAGATCCATTGAGTTCAGTGGAACTTATTCCCGGTTAAGTATGTTTAGGATCACAGCCTTATGTGATAAGCTAAGCCTCTTCCTTGGGAGGAAGTCACACTCAACTGAGACTTGCTTTTGAAGAGACAAGTATATCACTGCAGTTAGTCTGTAACTAAACTTCTGAAATTCATTAGCTGGCTAAATCACCTATATAAAATGATAAATACAAATGCAAAGCCATATAACAATAAATAAGCTATGAAAACATTTCTCTCTGAGAAAACACTAAATACTTGTCTTATTTGCTGATTTAAAATATTTTCAAAATAATGGTTCATCAATTAAATTAAAAATACATTAATCTAAAGCAAAGTTGCATATGAAAGAAGAAAATGTCAAATGCACATACCACTTTGGGGAAAAACAACACCCACATATGCATGAAACAGTGCTTAGTCTTCTTGATGCACATTTTTATTGGATTGTCCAGGTTCCCGTCTGTATGCCAGCTGATCTGGCTTTTTAGCACATGGTGAGGGGCTGCACCTACTCCTGAATACTTTCTTCTATGTCCTCTTATATGTCTGTAGCACAGAAGCCCACCCAGGGAACCATGTAGCTAATGCGGCAGGCCAAAAATCCAACAACTAAATAAAAAAACAGCTATTCCTCAGCAGTGGCCAGAGGATTGGAAAAGGTCAGTTTACATTCCAATTCCAAAGAAGGGCAATGCCAAACAATGTTCAGACTACTGCACCATTGCACTCATTTCACATGCTAGCAAAGTTATGCTCAAAATCCTACAAGCTAGGCTCCAGCAGTATGTGGACCAAGAACTACCAGAAATACAGGCAAGATTTTGAAGAGGCAGAGGAACTAGAGATCAAATTGCCAAGATACGCTGGATCATGGAGAAAGCTAGGGAGTTCCAGAAAAACATCTGCTTCATTGACTATGCTAAAGCATAGTTTGTTGTGATTGTATAGATCACAACAAATTGTGGCAAGTTCTTAAAGGGATGGGAGTGCCAGACCATCTTATTTGTCTCTTGAGAAACCTATATGCGGGTCAAGAAGCAACAGTGAGAACTGGACATGGAACCACTGATTGATTCAAAATTGAGAAAGGAGTTCAGCAAGGCTGTATACTTGTCTTGCCCTGTCTATTTAACTTATATGCAGAGCACATCATGAGAAAGGCGGGGCTAGATGAATCACCGGTTGCAATTAAGATTGCCGGGAGAAATATCAACAACCTCAGATATGCAGATAATACCACTCTCATGGCAGAAAATGAAGAGGAACTAAAGCTCCTCTTGATGCTGGTGAAGGAGGAGAGTGCAAAAGTTGGCTTGAAACTCAACATTAAGAAAACTAAGATCATAGCATCCAGTCCTATCACTTCCTGGGAGATAGATGGGGAAGAAATCAAGGTAGTGACAAATTTTATCTTCCTGGGCTCCAAGATCACCGCAGACAGTGACTGCAGCCAAGAAATTAAAAGATGCTTGCTCCTTGGGAGGAAAGCTATGACAAATCTAGACAGCATACTAAAAAGCAGGGACATTGCCCTGTCAACAAAAGTGCGTATAGTCAGGGCTATGGTTTTCCCAGTTGCAATGTATGGCTGTGAAAGCTGGACCATAAGGAAGGCTGAGTGCAAAAGGATTGAGGCCTTTGAATTGTGGTGCTGGAGGAGACTCCTGTGAGTCCCTTGGACCGCAAGGCGATCAAACCGGTCAGTCCTAGAGAGATCAACCCTGACTGCTCTTTAGAAGGCCAGATCCTGAAGATGAAACTCAAATACTTTGGCCACCTAATGAGAAGGAAGGACTCCCTGGAGAAGAGCCTAATGCTGGGAACAATAGATGGCAAAAGAAGAAGGGGACGGCAGAGGATGAGGTGGCTAGATGGAGTCACTGAAGCAGTCCGTGTGAGCTTAAGTGGACTCCAGGGGATAGTGGAGGACAGGAAGGCCTGAAGGAATGTTGTACATGGGGCGCGATGTGTCGGACACAACTTCACAACTAACAACAATAACAGCATTCCTCAACCGCATTTCTACTGAAGGTAATTGTCCTTGGTTTCAATACATAGCAAGAAGTATTCCAAGGGAAAATCAATTCACATCTAGAAAAGGTATATTCAGATAGGTCTCCAAAATAAGTAACCATACAATTCAGTCAAATTAAAAATTAAGAGAAAGAAAATTCACGCCCAGGAATTCTCTGAATTCTTCAGCATTGTTTTCCAGTATTTTTGGACAATTATACAATGCCAAAGATTGAAGTCCTAGTACAGTTTTGTGTCTCCAATGTTGTGAATATTAGGAGGCATTTATGTAATGCATGGGGATAGAGCATCCCTTCCTTCATGTGCGCGCGCACACACACACAGTAGGCCTCGTGTAGATTTGGATGGCTTTTCAGGTTTGTACCGTTGCACCTTCATATAGAGCAGCCAGGTCTGGCACAGCTGCACACGCTGTTCTTGCAGCTCAACTAGGCTAGAGCAGTGCATGCCATGGGCGCTTCTGGCTTGGTCGAATTCCCTCTCCAGCATGCATGCTTGGATGGCTCTTCTGTAGCTTTAAATGAACTTCCAGTCACCCATTTAATTAGCCATGTTGGTCTAGATTTTTCAAGTACCACTGCTTATTATCCTATATTGCATTTTCAGTGTGATGGCTGGTATTATTTTATGTTGCCATTTTAATAATATTGTGTGGTATAAAATTTAAAATTATTCTTATATTATTTCTTTTAGCCAGCTTGAGGTTTACCTGCATAAAGCCTTTTAAATAAATATCTGCAACCTATATATTATTTATTTATTTATTTATTTAAAACATTTCTATGCCGCCCCCAACGCAACAAAGCCTCGGGGCGGCTCACAACAATATTACAGGATTGTTTGCACAAAATTCATTCTGGACAATGGGAATAAACGAAATAGGGACTTCTTGTTGAAAATTCAAGCATTTACAAACATCTGAAAGAAGCTTTTAATACTGCATGCTTTTGTAATAATTTTGGAGTTAGCCTCCAACAGTAAGTTGTACTTAACTCTTTGATGTGAAGATAGTGATAAAATTATGGATAACTGAAAAAATAGCTTTCTTCTGTTTATCCTTGTGTTCATGGAGAGGCATCAGTATTGTTCTGTCTACCCGCAGAATATGAAGAAACGGTAATATCGCTTTTTGACTGTGGTCTCTTTGAAAATATTCTTACAGCTGCTCACTCTGGTATGTATGGAACACAGTATGGAACATGTCAGGCTAATTTACTTTTCATCTGGTGTGATTCTAATACTAAAGTACAAATATGACATTTTAAACACCACTCTTCTTAGAAGTAGAAGCTACCTTGTGTTGAAAGAATCCAGCACTGAGACAGCAGTACTTGGTCCACTACTGCCTTGACCTTATGAAGGATGTGGCTCTGTTCACCTTTATCTCATCCATTCTGACCACTTACCTGGGAATGAGGATTAAGGATCTCACTGCACTCTGTGTTGACTTGTGCTTCTGGTCAGCTACAACCGAGAACTGAACCCTTTCCCCAGCAGGGGAAAGATATTATCACCCTTCTGCTTCAAATTAGCCTTCCCATGTAGTTAGCTTATCACTGCTGGTCAGTGAATATACTTCACTCCTCAGCTGATCTACATGGGCTTGATCATTAGTATTAGCTTTACTAAGCAGCTGAGACTAGGAGTATTGGATGTGTACAGAGGAAGATGTAACATGCAAATAGGATACGTAGTGAGAATGACGGGGGGGGGGCACAAGAGAAAGATAATGGGGCAGGGTCCTGTGTATCTATACATATGGGGGAGCACATGCTAGCTGCTAAGCCGCCTTGGCAGAGCAGAGAGCCCCACCTGGGTTGTGGCTACTGGTGTCCTGACTAGGTCAGAGGCCAGGGAAAAAAGCCTCACTGCTGAGCCACTGGGCTAGTGGATTGAAAGGTTGGCAGTTTGAATCTGCAGACAGGGTGAGCTCCCGTACTCTGTCCAAACTCCTGCCAACCTTGCAGTTTGAAAGCATACAAATGCAAGTAGATAAAAAGATGCCACTTTGGTGGGAAGGTAACAGCGTTCTGTGCACTTCGGTGTTTAGTCATGCCAGCCACATGACCATGGAAACCGTCTGCGGACAAACGCTGGCTTCCTCCGCTAGGAAACGGAGATGAACACTGCCCCCTAGAGTCAGGCATGACTGGACTTTAATGTCATGGGAAAACCTTTACCTTTGTAGTCTCAGATAACTAACTTCAATAGCCTTTCAGTCGCTTTTCAGAGTGCATATGTTACAAATGGGTACTATTTAGAAAGAATTAAAGAGATATTTGAAAACAAACAAAAATCAAATACTAAAGATTGATTTTATTCATACAGGAACTGAAAAAAAGATTCAGGAGCTACTGAATACACGGAAAAAACTGGACACTCAGATTGAGCTTCTAAAAGATTTAAAAGAAGTAGTACTACCTACTCCAGAGGATACAGCTAGTGCATCGAACAGTATCTGTGAATAGACTAAATCTTCCATAATACTGGTTGATTCCTTCCAGTTGGATCTTGTATAAAATTGACCTTGTAATATAAAGGCTCAGTTCTCCTTACACCTCACTTTTGTAATGACTAGTCTTTTATAGTTCTCACAGCTGAGGCACTTTTATTCTAGCCAATGCACTTGGACTGGTTCATATTGCTGAATTCTTCCATCACCTTTAGCAGGTCAGGGAGGATCCTATTTCTAGGATTATGATTACATCTTACTGCAGTGTATGCTACAAGTGATAAGAGGAAATTGCTTTCTGTGGCTTAGTGGCAGCAGGTGCTACTGACAAACCACTTCCAGTGTGACTGTGGGCATGGCAGTCATTAAGGCAGGTTAACCTGTAACTGACATTCTTCGAATGGCCATCTGTGCATTCACACAGATGGGTGCTGTGCCTGCGCAGTGCCTAAGGCCGGAAAGATTGAAAAACTAACAGTTTTTGGCGGGAAACTCCGCTCCCCTCCCCCTCAATGCTATATATAGAGCGGAGTGTCCGCCATTTTCTCAGTCTTTGTAAGACCGAACACTCACCCCCTCTCGGGAGAGAGACATATTACAATAACCTTATTAGATACCATGACTATCAACTGAGACATGGTACCAACAGAAAAAATCCACTCACCAACACCGAGCGGGGCCGGCAGGTGGGTTGTGTGAATGCACAGGTGGCCACTCAAAGAAAGTCAGTTACAGGTAAGCAACCTGCCTTTCTTCGTTGTGGCCTTTGTGCATCACACATATAGGTGATTAACAAGCTTACCAGACTCGGAGGAGGGCGGTGTCATCATCAGAGAATGGCTGAGAGGACTGCCCGACCGAAGGAGCAATCCTGTTTGGCACATACATCAAGGCGATAATGCCTGGCAAAAGTGCACGGAGCAGCCCAAGTGGCAGCTTTACAGATGTCCTGGATTGGGATTCCCGCAGCAAAGGCAGAGGAAGCTGCTACTGCTCTTGTGGAGTGACCCCTTGGAACAATGGGTAAGTCCATTTTGGCAAGTTGATATGCCAACATGATAGTTTGCACAATCCATTTTGAAAGTCTCTGTGACATGACTTGAGAGCCCTTATCCTGTTCAGAATATTTCACGAAGAGTCTATTAGACCGTCGAAAAGACTCTGTGCATGATCTTTAGAATGCTAAGCAACGCCACACATCAAGAGTATGCAGGGATCTTTCAAGCAGATTCGATGGCAATGGAAAGAAGGCAGGTAAGACGATTTCCTGGTTAACATGGAATGGAGTGGCTACTTTAAGTAAAAACATCGAATCCATTCGAAGAACCACCTTCTCCTTATGGAAATTCAAATAAGGCAGGTCTACCTGAAGAGCACATAGTTCACTAGCTCTCCGAGCCAAAGTGACAGCTATAAGAAAAGCAGTCTTCCAAGCTACAAGACGTAGGTCAATAGTCATCATAGGTTCGAATGGAGTTCTGGTAAGTGCTTGAAATATGACTGAGAGACTCCAAGTAGGCATAACAGGACGAATTGTCAGGTGAAGATTCTGCAGTCCTTTTATGAACCTTCTAATAATTGGTTGTGAAAAAGCTGATGAGCCTTGCACCGCACCGCAGTAATGAGAAATAACAGCCGTATAAACCTTTATAGATGAGGGTTTAAGTCCCAAATGATGTAGGTCTAAAAGAAACTGTAGTATCTTCTCTATCGAAGCCAATTCAAGAGCAAATGAATGGGATTCTGTGAAAGACGAGAATCGACACCACTTTGCCGCATAAGATCTCTGTGTTGACAGTCTTACAGCAGATTCGAGAATCCCGATGCAAGTTCTATCAGATCCGAGTAAGTGAATAGTGTCTCAGTTCCGTAAATGGGAGTTCCGAGTGCACGAGTCAATGTTGGTACTGAGTTGGTAACGTGGGTCATCGGATTCGCCAAGCTGTGAGGCTCAAAGAAGTCAAGTCCAGGTGATGAACAGCTCCGTCTTGCTGCGTTATCAAATGAGGTATCGATTTTAGATGGAGAAAGATGTTGTTGGGCAGTCAAAGAAGGGTGGAGAACCATGCTTGATGGGGCCACCAGGGTGTGATCAAGATTCCCATGGCATTGTCGTGGATAATCTTCGATATGACTTTCATTAAAAGTGGAATTGGAGGAAAGGCATAAACATTGATGTTGGACCATGAGACCATAAGGGCATCCCCTGCTGAGCCCAGTCTGATGCCTGCTCTGGAGCAGAACATTTCGCATACCCTGTTCTCATGGGTAGCGAACAAGTCCATGTCTGGATGTCCCCAACGCCGGAAAAGCTGGCTGCAAATCTGTCGATCTAACTCCCACTCATGAGTCGTTGACATTTGCCTGCTCAACACATTGGCTTCCTCATTGTCGGTACCAGCTAGATGAACCTCCAGAAGAGTTATGTCCCTCAGGATGCACCAGTCCCAAATCTTCATCGATAGCCAAGCCAGGGCAGCAGACTTCGTCCCGCCCTGTTTGTTCACATAGAACACAGCAACCATGTTGTTGGATGCAATCTGAACCACATGTTGCTGGACAGTATCCTCAAAGGATCAAAGAGCTTTGAAGATCGCCAGGAGCTCTAGATAGTTGATGTGCCTGGCTGATTCCTGTTGATCCCAAGTGCCTTGTGTCTGAAGTCCTGCACATATGACACCCCAACCGATCAGCGATGCATCGGTATACAGAGTCAGAGTGGGGTGAGGTGGTCAGAATGGAACACCGACATTCAGCTTGTGCAGAACTGTCCACCATTCTAGTGTTTGTAGGATAGACAGCGGAAGGCGCATAGGCTTGGTGGGCGAGTCCTGTTGTGGATGAAACATTTTGTTGAAATGCAGTTGAAGAGGTCATAGTTGAAGTCTGGCATGAGGAAAGATGGATACCGAAGCGGCCATGTGACCCAGAAGCTTTTGGACCGAGAGGGCCGGCACAGTCCTGTCTCGTTGAATTCGGTGGATCCATGAGAAAAGATTGGTTTGACGAGCTGGAGGAAGAAATGCTCTCACTAGAACGGAGTTGAGACGCGCCCCGATGAAGTCGATCACCTGCGAAGTGACAAGGGACAGTTTTTCATGAAATACACAGTCCCAAATCATCCAGCAAGGAACAAGTTGTGTCAACAGCTGACAGAAGACTTTCCCGCGTCTGAGAAACTAACAACCAGTCATCCAGCTAAGGGTATACTTGAATACCCTGAAGCCGGAGGTGCGTACACACTGGGGCCATACATTTAGTGAAGACCTGTGGAGCGGTGGCTAATCCAAATGGAAGGACATTAAATTCAAATATGTTGGAACCGACAGTGAAGCGTAAGAGACGCCTTCGTAGTGGCGCGATGTTGGCTGTGGTTGGGCCGGCAGGTCCCAAGGTTGAACCATGGAGTAACCTGCATGGCAGACTGCAGGGTCGGTCCCAATGGGGTCGGTACCATCACGGCCACTGGGACCAAAGGCACTGATGAACCTAGTGTGGTTGGATTTCTTAGGCTTGTGGGCCGTTTTGTCTGCCTTATCCTTTTTAGCCTTCTTGTGGCTAAAGGATTTGTCCAAGCCACCATGTTTCCTCCCTTTGTTTGCAAGGGGGAGGAGGAGGTTGTTGAGCCCCCGTGGCCGAAGCACCATTATCCGATGGGCACAGTGGAGGTGCAGCCAAGGCAGAGGCAGGTTTTGCAGCCAGCTGGTCAGACTGCATAAGGGCCTGGTCCCAGAGCATTTTACGCAGGCGGGTCTCCCGGTTCTTACGCGCCTGCTTAGTGAAGGCCTGGCAATGGCCACACATATCAGTTCTGTGCCCCTCGCCTAGGCACAGGAGACACAGATCGTGTGGGTCCGCAGGGGACATCTTAGACCCGCACTCAGAACGTTTACGAAATGCCGTTTGCTGCGCCATCGGAAAAAGGGAAAATAGAATAAAGAAGATAGTAAAGAGGGAAAGGTAATCTTTTTTTTTTTTTTTTAAGAAAGCGAAAGAGTGACCGAGAGAAGAACTCTAATGGGGGGAAAAACTTGGAGATATAAGATAACTATCAGCAAGAACAAGGAGCAATGGAGAGTAACACTAGAAAAAAGGCTCAAGGCACAGTGAACAGTGGTCGCAAAAGGACACTCCGCTCTATATAGAGAGCATTGAGGGGAAGGGGAGCAGAGTTTCCTGCCAAAACCTGTTAGCTTTCAATCTTTCTGGCCTTAGGCACTGCGTAGGCGCAGCACCCATATGTGTGATGCATAGAGGCCACGACGAAGAACTTTCTCTGCTGGGAGAGTGACTGCTAAGCCTCTATTTCTAGAAGCTTGCATTTGCCTCTAACTCAAGGTTCAGACTGTGGTGTTTTATAATCATTTACTACTTCCCCCAAATATGAACTGGATCAATCCAAAAATGAAGCCATAATGTTGAACTTGGAAGAGTAGGCTGTTGCTGTCATGAAAAGAACGTTTTTCATTCAAGTCAGAGACAACTTGACAGCACACTACTACTGTTACTTCTGGATTACATTTTAAATCAGTTTTTTAATTTGTTTTCAAACATACAAACAAGATTTTAACCAAAATGGCAACTTATGCATTCTAAGTTTCTGAACCCTAACCCTAAACTTTTCTACTTGCAGTTTTACACAATTTTATCTATACACGTTCAACTAGCTGTAACGGTTCTTATGAGGCCAAATATTAGCTGCTTACTGCAATCTCAGATCTGATACCATCTTTTGAAAATGTGTGAGACTCAGATACTTTTAAAGTATGTATCTGTTTTAAGAATATTCATAATTGTTTGATTATAGGGTTGTAAATAATTGTTTAATAAAAGTTTTTTGGAATAAAGTGATTGTACATGTGTTGCTGGTTCAGGAGAAATGGAAACATCAAGCCCTCCCTGCTCCATCATCTCCATTAGCAGGATTGGATTAAAAGAACATTTAAAGGTTTGTTAATATCTTACATTATACAATGGCTACAGGTCTTAACAGTCCAAGTGCCCTTTAACAAAAGGCAAAATGTTCTCTACTCCAAAGTAATAGTCCAACAGCCTATACCCAGTCACAGTAGGGAACTGCTTCTTCCTAGCAAGTAAGTCCCA